AATTCACTCACATACATAAAATAAATAATTTGTTTAAAATGATGCCCTCTAGATCTTGTGAAAATCAATTGCAGCCCAGCTTGTCTTCCTGATTGTCTCCTGGGGGCCTGTCTGCCCACTTGCCATTGGAGGTCAATTGACTTTGACAGTGTCTGTGAGCAGTCAAGATAGAACTGTCCTTTCCCCTCACCCAGGGGTTTGGGAATGCAACTAGATTGGTATTTGGCTTGTCATATCTAGAATGGGGAAAGGAAGCCATGGACTTGCCCCACAGCGCAGTGCATAGCCCAAGTGGCTGGCGAGTGAGCTAATCTGATTGGCAGCAAAAGGATTTGTGTGAGAGAGTTGGAGAAAGCTGGAGTGGAGCAGGTAGGGCGAGTCAGCGGGGAAAGGAGCTTGCTAGTGTAACAACCCTATGGACCTACCTACATTGTGGAAGGAGACAACCAAGCCCTGCAAGGTGTCCTATGAGTTCCACACACATGCCAGGCATGCGCACACACACACACACACACACACACACACACACACAGACAAGCACACACACACACACACACACACAAGCACACACCAAAAACAAACAAATAGAATAAAATTGTAAAGAAAAATCACACATGCACAGACACACACACAATAAACAAAACAGAATTGTAAAAAAAAATCACACATGCCCCCCTCACACCCTTAAAGTGTAAATGAAATTACCCCTCTTCCTTCCGACGCAGTTCCTAGGAACTGCACCAAATCATTCTGTCTTATGCATGGCAAACTTGAGAGTAAGGCATCCAGCATATCAATGATGACAGCAAGACTGGGGTTTCTCTCCTTTGAGTTTTGGAGGAGAGCAATGTTCTTTGTTATTTCTCCAGGCTCGGGTTTAGGAGGAAATATTGTCTTCCTGGTTTGCTTTGCAAAGCTCTTGCTCTAACTCCTATTTCAGAAAATAGGGCCTAGACTTACTTAATACTTCTGTAGACCACAGGGAGGAAGATTTTCTAATTGGCTCAGTGAAATGACACTGCCATCAGCGTTGCAGACTCTGAGAGTTCTGGAACGCCAGGTGGGAACCAGGGGTAAAGGGGTGAAAGACATGAAAATAAGCTGTTTACAGCAAAATAAACTCTGGGGCAGGGCAGTGGATACCACGATCTGCTCTTCAGTTCAGGGCCCCAGCTGGAAGCCGGGGATAAAGGGAGCTGGTGCCAAGACGGAATTCCCAGAGCAAATGACATCCAGGCTGAGCCCAAAGAAGCCAGGTGAAGGATGCTGTAAGAACCACCCACCACCAGGTCGTAGGAAACAAGAGACTGACACCCAGCAATGCAGTGAGATATGCAAATCCAAACAACAGAATTCACATCCGGCATCGGCAAAATCTTCAGATGTTGGCTGCAGCCGGCATGGACAAGTCCAGAAAGAGGGGCTCTTTACGCACAGTTTTGCTGTAAAAGGAGAAAGAAAAGGACATGGGTGGGATTGTAGGAAAACGTTTTTTGGAAGCATGCATGAATTAAGCAAGCAATTTTAGTATTTACCAGGATACGCCCTCAAGTGTCCCCAAGTTATGCATGCAAGGGAAGACACTGTAGAAACGTGTCCTGCCCGGATCAGTGATAAAATAATTTCTGGTATGTCTACACAGGTAGAGAAGGAACGTAAACCACACAGAAAGAATGGTGTCCCCTCTTAAGCCCTTGGCATTCCTCTTCACACTTTTACTCTTCCAGCCTGTATGCAGGAATCTGTCTGCTCTGTTTGTCAAGTTCTCCGTGAAAACAGCCATTAGCTTGTTAATGAAGCAGTCGGGGCCTGCAGGGAAATAACAGATCCCGGCAGAGTTTCGGGAACTGGAAAAGAGGCTGGAGGCCCTTTTGAGGGGTGGGGGTGGGGGCATTGAGAGACTGGGCGTGGACAGAATTACCCAGGCCCGCCCACTGTCTTGGCTGCTGGCGGGTGTGAAAGTACCTAGTTGCTTGGGTGTGAATGCACTGAGGAAGGACTGAGAAGGAGGTAAATCACTGTAGAGGCCTGTGGCAAACTTGGCGGAGGGTTGTTGCTTTTGAGTTTTATATTTCTTTCTAAGACTTATTTTTACGTGCATTGATGCTTTGCTGCATGCATGCCAGTGAGGGTGCCAACTCTCCAGCCCCTTGTTTTGCATTTTGGGGCTGGGTTTTAGTTGCATTATATAGCACTTGCCTGTAATCCCAGAATTTGGGGAAACAGAGGCGCGAAGGTAACTGAGAGCTCCAGGCTAGCCTGAGTTTGAGTGAGACCCTTTCTTAAAAGAAGGGTTAGAACAAACAAACAGCAGGGTCTACCCTGCAGCTCAGAATAGCCGTATACTCACTCTGAAGACCAGGCTAGCCCCTAACTCACTTCAAACCTCCTCTTACAGGCCGGTGCCACCATGTCCTGCTTTTGTGGCAGACAGATAATAGTCTGCTTGCCCCAGTTCCTGATACCTGGCTGCTCATATCGAGTGTGAGAATAAATCTAAAATATTAAAATAAAACGGATGAACCTTGTATTCCAAGGCTAACAGTAAGTATGGAAGCCCTTTCCCTGTGGCATTCCACTTGGGTCACACACGCGTGACTGACTCCTCTGCCCTAGGTGTCCGCTGGAGGCAGTTTCCGATGGCACAGGTCCTTGGCAGGAAGGCTGGCCTCCTTGGACTCTGAAACATCTCCCAAGAATAGCAGCCTCAGTCCCTTTCTCTGAAACAGGGAGGTGACCGCCATGGTCTATGCTCCGTGAGGTCGGTCATACGTTTCTCTGCGAGTCGTGCCAGACCTGCCCAGCCTCTAGCAATAGAGGAACAGCTTCAAGCTGGAGGCGAGGTCCTCCCCATCCCCACCTCGAGACAGAGAGAGGCTAGTAAACTGCAGCTCATCCACTTAGCATATTGAGCATGTTTGGACCCGGGAAAACCAAGCGACCTATAAAAGTGCTTGTGAAGCCGGGCGTCGGTGGCGCACGCCTTTAATTTCAGCACTCGGGAGGCAGAGGCAGGTGGATCTCTAAGTTCGAGGTCAGCTTGGTCTACAGAGTGATTTCCAGGACAGCCTCCAAAGCCACAGAGAAACCCTGTCTCAAAACCTCCCCCCCAACCCTCCCCCCCCAAAGTGCTTGTGAAGCCGCAGCTTTAACCTTCAGGTCCCCGCGCCCACCCGCAGGCTCCCGGGTCGCGACGGCAATTCCGGAGCTGCTGGAAAGACTAAAGCACACTCCCAGACTTAATCCCTCCCGTCCTTGAACTTGCTCCTCTCCCAAACAAGGCTTTGCGGGTCGCCAGCGTATCTCTCCTAGCCACCCAAGCTTCCCCAGCAACCAGCACCCAACTCCACGCGGCTTTTCAGCAAAAAGATGAAAGCAAATTCAGAACTAAAATCTTATAATGAGGTATCAAATGCCTGCATATTTATACATGGTGTTTAGACGTTCCTAACTAATGGTTGTCATGTTTGAACAGCCTTGGTAGAATAACTCTCTCCTCTTTGACCCCTTCCTTTTTCAAGAGAAAAGAAGCCTGTACCCAACCAGACACTGCTGGTTAGCTAACTCCAACACTTGGCCTTGTAATGGGCGTGGGGCTCCCGTCTCCCCGCCCACCTGAGGGTCCTCCCGCCACCCCAAGGGTTTCTAGTGAAGGAAGGAAGATCCCTAGGAAGCCCCTTCTCAAGGTCAAAACGTTCTATTGGTGGGAGAGGCCCCATCCCCCCAGTCTACTTGGAGACCTTGGCTGTCGACTGCCCTAAGACCCTCCGAGACAGGCGCATTTCTCATCTGGAATCTTTCTTCTTAATTTGCTATTTTTTTTACTTCGGGAAATTGGCCGTTGGGTGTTTGGGGAATGAATGACCTTATGAATTAGAGCCATTTGTTAATATTGTTTTCTTTGTATTGTTCGCCAACATTTTTACGAGCCGGGGAAGATGGCGCACTTCTCGTCCAGGTATGAGCTAACTTTGAATTTTTGATTGCTGGAGATTGCAACTTCAGAAAGCCATGTTCTGCCTCTGACTTTTGTCTTACTTGAATCTGCTGCTTTTCCTGAACAAACATCCTGGAACTTTGTACCTAGTTGCATACTACTTTGCCATTGACTTTTTAAAATATTCAATTTTTTAAACATTCATCGTGCGTGCCCGTGTGTGTGTGTGTGTGTGTGTGTGTGTGTGTGTGTGTGTGTGTGTGTGTGTGTGTGTGTGTGTGTGTGTGTGTGACTTACTGGGATCTAATTCCTGTGTGGGTCCTGGGCATCCAGCTCAGGTTGTAAAGCTTAGTGGCAACTGCCTTTCCCAGCTCATCATGTCAATCATGTTAACGGCTCTGCCAGAGAACTGATGCTTTCTCTTGCATAAATAGTATTAGTATTGCAGCCGAGTTAAGACTGCCTGTAAAGGTTAATAATGGTGGAGATATTCGGTACTTTAAAAACTGTTAAGAATAACAAACAGGGGCTGGAGAGGTGGCTCAGAGGTTAAGAGCACCGATTGCTCTTCTAGGGGTCCTGAGTTCAATTCCCAGCAACCACATGATGGCTCACAACCATCCACAATTCAATCTGGTGACCTCTTCTGGTATGTATGCAGAACACTGTATGTGTAATAAATAAATCTTTAAAAAAACAAACAAATTAAACTTGAAACCATTTGAAATGACAGGACAGGTTTTTGTTTTTGTTTTTCTAATGGTACTGGGGATGGAACGAGAATCTGCATATGCTAGGCAAATGCTCTACCCAGCTCAGCATACACAGCCATCTAAAAATTCATATATGTAAACAGCGTGGAAAATATGCAGTTTACGCAAAAACAGGATTTTTTTAAGGGGGGAGGAATTTCTGTTCCAGTTTTCTTACTCGAGGCTCCACAAAAAGAACGGTGGTGCTCTTGAATTTCTCCTTAGTGGCCTGTGGTCTTCTAATGAGAGCTCCAGTTTTATTTACATGCTTTGTCTCCCTAACTGATGTCCAATTTCCTTTTCCTAGTCTGGTTCTACTTGTGGTCATTTCCGGTACATTTGAATTTGGACTCATTGCTGGTGAGAGTTTTCTCCTTTTGTTTGGGGTTCAGGGTTTTTTGGGGGTCAGAGTCGTATAAGTCCATGATAAATGGCCCCTACAACTCGGGGCTAATACAGACCGGACCCGACAGACAGGGAGCTTCAAGACAGGGTTTCCTGTGTTGCCCTGGTTGCCCTGGAACTCCTCTGTAGACCAGGCTGACTTTGAACGCATAGAGATCCGCCTGCCTCTCCTCCTGAGAGCTAGGATTAAAGGCAGAGGTCTTCACCACTGCACAGCTGGGGTTCAGGATTTGAGACTGGGTGTCACTGAGCTCAGACTGTCCTGGCACTCCTGCTTCTGCCTCTACCAATCCCAGGGCCACCACCACACACAGTGTTTAGGGACAGGGCCTCAGGCTGGCCTCTAACTCAGGATCCTTCCTCCACCTCCTGAGTGCTGAGATCACAGGTGTGTGCCACTAAACTTGGGGGGGTGGCTCTTGTTTTGTTTTTCGAGAGGGGGCTGCTTCTTATGAACACTAACAATACTAACAATCTTTTGTGTGGCTTGAAATACATGTCACAGGGATGGACCACCGTGAGCTGACTATTCTGTCTCCGAGAGGCCTGGCCATCAGAGACGACAGCCTTCGCAACCCAGAAGGACCTGCAGTACATTCTCCATCCTCCCAATTGGTGCCTTCCGTGGGGATACAGAACAGTAAGGCTTGCTTGACTCAATTCGTCTCTGTCCTGGCCCTTGACACATCTCTAAAGTAACTTTATCACTTAACCTAGGAGAGTGGATGTGTTACGCTAGTGACTGGGGGTGTTGTACTACTAGCTTGGGGTGTAGAGGTGAGTGAGATGGGCGTGCTGCGTCACATCAGAAATTCAGTTTTCCTAATGCTGCTTCGTGCTGGGGACTGGTAGCCATAAGTGCTGTGCACATGAAAATGATGTCCCTAAAAGCAGTCTTGTGCTGTGGGCTCTTGAGAATACTCTGGAGGCTGGAGTGCTAGATGGCCCTTCGCATGTGGTTCACCAGCCCTCTACCTGCCCCATGACTTCTACGTTTCAGGTAAGTTGCTTAACAAAACTTGCTGCCTGAACGGAGGGACCTGCATCCTGGGGTCTTTCTGCGCCTGTCCACCCTCCTTCTATGGACGCAACTGTGAACGGGACTTACGAAAAGAGTAAGCTGTTGGAGGGGACGGGACTGGGCGGTGGGGAGAGAAGGGGACTGAGGAATTTACTGACTGTGTTGTCTGTCTTTCTCAGGCACTGCGGGTCTGTCCTCCATGGCAACTGGCTGCCCAGGAAGTGTTCCCTGTGCAGGTGTTGGCATGGCCAGCTGCACTGTTTTCCTCAGACCTTTCTACCCGGCTGTGGTAAGCAGCTGCCCGTGCCTTCTTTAGTCCTGTCGTATCCCTTAGATGCTCGAGGGTCTCTTTTTCTGCCTCCTGTTCTTCCAGAACTTTCTTCCAGGTCTGACAGGACCTGCCAGCCAGGACTCTACTTATAAAATAGCATAGATGTGGTGATATAGTGACACAGGGTCATTGGTAGACATTACCTCAGGCATATGTGGTCCTTAGGTAGTGTTCTCTTAGATGTGGGTCCTTGGGGGTGCTACCTCAGGGTCATGGGGTGTTGTTGGACATTCCCTCAGATGTAAGGCCACTGGTGGATGTTCCCAAAGCATAGGCTTTGAGGGGGAATGCTTCCTCAGATACGGGGCTGTGGGTGTGTGGTCCCCAATACAATAGATCTTTAGGAGAGCCCTCAGACGTGGGGTCCCTGGTCAGGGACACTCCCTCAACCCGCACACTACCTGCAGAGTTCCTTCAAGTCGACCTGACACTGATAACCCGCAGGCTTCTGCTGGACACAGTGAACAGAGCGACACTTCCACATCAAGGAGTGCTTGCTGGGCCTGCTTTTGGGCAGAGGATCCCAGCAGACACCAGGACAGTCCTTCAGTTAGAGCCCACCACTACCGCTAATCCTTCCTGTGCACTGGTGTGGGTTTGGGTTGACTTTTTTGTTTGTTTGTTTGTGTGTGTGTGTGTGTGTGTTTTGTTTTTGCCCTATTCTGTAGCCCAGGCTGGCTTAGAACTCAGTATATAGTCTAAGTTGGCCTCAAACTGCCATCAGTCCTCATGTCCCAGCCTCCACAGTGCCGGGATTACAGGAATTCCCCATCAGCCTCAGATCTACCAACACTTTCACCCCACTGGTGTCCTCTGGATGCATTTATGAGACAAGGTCTCACCATATAACCCTGGCTGGCCTGGAATTCACAGAGATCTGCCTGCCTCTGCCCCCAACCAATGCTGGTGTTTAAAATTGTGAGCCCCCATGACTGGTTTTTTCTGCACCCTAAAGATCTGTGGTGACTGGTCACAGCACCTTTGTCTTATAGATCTGAAGGAGACAGGGTCAGGACATAGGAGAGAGCAGAGGAGTCTATGTTGTCCCTACCCCATTTGGCTGGGTTTTTCTGAGCGACTCACATTTGGACTCTTATATTGAATGTGTGCGAGTTCATAATGTAAATGAAGGTATACCCTTTATCTGACAGAAGATGGAACCCTACTGCCCCCCCAACATAGGGTCTGTGTCTTTACCATTGCATTTTGGGTATTGTGTTTGCATTATTAGCAAATGCGGGTGGAGTGATTGGATGAATGGGAACCATATTTTCTTGGAATTTGGGGCCCAAGATGTGCTGTCCCCTTACCAGAACCTAACCAATATCTGCTTGGACTAGAAAGTATCCAGGGAAGAGCCAATTAACAATAGGTCTGCAACAACTTTGGATGAAAGCTCTTCGCAGAGAGCAAGAGTCATAGTTAGCACTGCTGATCAATTAGGCCCCAGCAGAGTTGTGGATCTTGAAGATAGACCTGTGTTCAGGCACTGGAGGCAGCAGAGAAGCTGGAGGGGTTTCCTACGATGACCAGGCATCTCTACCTTTCAGATGGTCATGTGATGGACCAGGATCTCCCAGCATCCAGGACTCCAGGACAAGCACCGTCTGTGCCAACCACTTTCATGCTAGCTGGCGTCTGCCTTTTTCTAGAAATGAAAGTGTAGGTGTCATATGAATCATGCCAGTGTCCTAACAAAGATGATCATTTGTCATTCATTTGAAAGCAATACTCATAGTGATCCTTGACACTCCCCTCAAAACTAACTAGGCCTTACCTCTGCCCAGCTCCGCCCCTTTCTGCCTGTGCTGGCGGTCAAAGCACAGCTTGTGTGTGCTAAGAGCAGCGGTCTAACACTGAGCTACGCCACCAGCCTAGAAACTACTCTACTTAAAAACTACTACATGGCCACATCCTGCTTCTGTTTTTAATTTTATTTTTATTTTATGTGTATTGGTGTTTTGCCTGCATACATATATAGGTGAGGGTGGTGAGTGTCCTGGAACTGGAGTTGCTGATAGTTGTGAGCTGTCATGTGGGTGCTGGGAATTGAACCTGGATCCTGGAAAAGCAGTCAGTGCAGTCTTAACTGCTGAGCCATCTCTCTAGCAGCCATATCCTGCATTTCCTGATGAAGTAACTCCTACTTGTTTTGCTAATACTTTTAAGCAATTCTTAAGATTATGAAATTCTGATGTGTAACTAAGAGCAAATTCAGAGTAGGTGTATATACATTACTAGAAAGCCAAATTATAAAACTACATGTTGTAAAGTCTGTTTTTATAATACTTTAATAAGAGTGTGCACAGTAAAAATGGGAACTCTGTTAATCAAATGTGAGGAGTTGTTATTTCTAGGTGGTAAGATGAAAATATTTTGTGGTTTTGGGTTTTTCCCCTCTCTGTATTTACAATTTTTCAAATTCTCCATGATGAGAATATGTTTAGTTTGTTTTCATAAGAAACATGTATGGCACAGGCCGGATAAGCACCGTGCTCTGATGGGTGCTCAGATAGTTTGGGGGTGTGTGTGTGGGGTGTTCATTTTGGCTTTTCTTAGTTTTTGAAACATGATCTCATTTTGTATGTAGTCCAAGCTGGCCTTGAACTCATCAAGTAGCCAAGATGACCTGGAATTTTGGATCTTCTGAATGGAGGGATTATAGGCGTGTTCCCTCAGTCCCAGTTTTATGAAGCACTGAAGATAAAGCTCAGGGCTTCACGTGTACTATGCAAGCATTCTGCCAGCTGAACTACACTCCCAGAGCACTGCCCTACCCCACCCCCAGTATCAAAGCCAGGCATTGCAACACACATTTGCAATCTCTGCAGTAGCGATGCTGAGACAGGAACCAGCTTGGGATACAGAGTGGGACTGTCTCATGGAGGGAAAAAAGATGGGGATGTGGGCTGGGCTGGAAAGACGCCTCAGTGGCTAAGGTTTTATTGTGTTTACAGAGGACCCAGATGTGGCTTCCAACACACGCACATGGCAGCTCACAACCACCTCTAACTCCAGTTCCAAGGGATTCAAAGTCCTTCTGACCTCTGTGGTATCATGCACCCGGACACACACACACACACATAAGATTAGTTAATCTTGGGCTGGAGAGATGGCCCAACAGCTAAAAGTACTTGCTGCTCTTGCAGAGGACCTAAGTTTCAGGTTCCAGCACATGACAGCTTACATAGTTCCCATAACTCCCATTCCAGGGGACCTAGTGCCCTCTTCTGCCTTCACCAGGCACACACAGAGAGCTCTCATTTGAATTAGAATAATTCATGGCTACATGGTGGTGAGGGTGCAGACTGTACATCGCCTTGTCTTCTTTTTTTTTTTTTTTTTTGGTTTTGTTTTTTCAAGACAGAGTTTCTCTGTGGCTTTGGAGGCTGTCCTGGAACTTGCTTTGTAGACCAGGCTGGTCTCGAACTCACAGAGATCTGCCTACCTCTGCTTCCCGAGTGCTGGGATTAAAGGCGTGCGCCACCAACTCCCAGCTCATTGCCCTGTCTTCTGCCACATAGTTTGTATTCAATTTGTTTCCTTTAAGTCAACTTTTACCTTGGGTACAGGGAGGCTGATCTGCAGCTTGGAATCCCCCTGCCTCAGCTTCTCAGTTTCCAGCATCATTAAGTATATTTACATTAATTTACATTCATTCCCCCACCCATCCGTTAGAGTTTTATCATCATTCCAAACAATCTGCTCCCATTAAACACTGTTCCCCTTTGCCCTCATTCCCCCCCCTCCGCCTCTGACAACCCTGTCTGAATTTGGTCACAAATCCCATGAAGAAGTGGAGTCATCATGCAGTGTTTGTGTGTTTATATCAGGCTTACTTCACTTAGCATGGCAGTAAGTTCTGGTCTTGTTGGAGCACATGCAAGGTACACATGGTATACAGACAAACATGCAAACAAAATCGATTTTAAAAGGGTATGGAATATTTGACATTGACCTCTGACATCCATGTGCGCACACATGAAATTGCACATACATACAGAATCAATACATGGCCGGGCGTTGGTGGCGCACGCCTTTAATCCCAGCACTCGGGAGGCAGAGGCAGGCGAATCTCTGTGAGTTCGAGACCAGCCTGGACTACCAAGCGAGTTCCAGGACAGCCTCCAAAGCCACAGAGAAACCCTGTCTCAAAAAACCAAAAAAAAAAAAAAAAAAAAAAACAGAATCAATACATGTAAAATAATTAAAAAGAAACCTTTGTGTTGGTTGTGGTGGCACATACCTTTAACCCCAGCACTGCAAACCTGGTTCCTAATCTTGTTTGTGAGAGTCCTTTGCAAATAGTTTCGTCAGCTGTGTTGAAATTCTTGACTTAGCCAGCGAGAGACCTAAAGCAGAGCAGGAAAATGATGGGTTTAGACCTTTCTCCTGTCCCTTTAACTTTCACTCATGATTGAATTGGAAAAATCAGATAGAGGGGCTCAGTGACAACCCCCTTCCAAAGCTCATCTTCAAGGGGCTAGCAGGAACTTCTGGTTTTTATTCAAAATGGGAACAAGGGGAAATGGGGTTTGCATAGATGACAATCTAGTCTGTTACCTCAGCTCTGATGTTGAAAGGGTTCTAGAGAAGTCGTCGTCGCATGAGTGGAACACTCTGGTTCCTGTGAGATGCTCTGGGCACTCCTGTTCGGAGGTCAGGTGTTGGTGATGTGGAAGTTAGTGTCCCCCTCTTGTCACCGATCAGTCCTGTCTTCCCTGGAACCCAAGGTAGCCCAGAAGAGAGTGATTCGAGGGGGCAAATGGTAAAAGCGGTAGCAGAGTCGGTGGGGCATCCAGCCAAACAAAAGCAGTGGCTCCCGAGCAAGGAAGCTAAGGCAGACAGAATAGGAGTAATGTGGTTTCCTTTTTTGTTGTTATTTGTTTGTTTATGGTTTTGTTTTTGTTTTTCGAGACAGGGTTTCTCTGTGGCTTTGGAAACTGTCCTGGAACTCGCTTGGTAGTCCAGGCTGGTCTCGAACTCACAAAGATCCGCCTGCCTCTGCCTCCCGAGTGCTGGGATTAAAGGTGTGCGCCACCAACGCCCGGCTGTTTATGGTTTTTTGAGACAAGAGTTTCTCTGTGTAGCCCTGGCTGTCCCAGAACTCACTTTGTAGACCAGCTTGGCCTGGAACTTGGAGATCCACCTGCCATTGACTGTCTGGTTTGGTTTTTAGATATATTTATTTTTCTTAAAGATTTCTTGTGTGTGTGAGTGTGTGTGTGTGTGTGTACACGTGTGTGTGTGTGCACGTGTGTGTGTGTGTGCCCATGCACATGCAACGTGTGCAATGGCCAGGAGCGAGGCCAGAAGAGTGTATCAACTGGAACTGGAGTTTCAGGTGGTTGTGAGCTGCCAGGTAGGTGCTGGGAACTTTTTTTTTTTTTCAAGACAGGGTTTCTCTGTGGCTTTGGAGGCTGTCCTGGAACTCACTTTGTAGACCAGGCTGGCCTCGAACTCACAGAGATCCGCCTGCCTCTGCCTCCCGAGTGCTGGGATTAAAGGCGTGCGCCACCGACGCCCGGCCGGTGCTGGGAACTTAACCTGTGTCCTATGCAAAAGCAACAGCTGCTCTTAACCACTGCACCAGCTCTCCTGCTTCAGATTTATTGTATTTTTAATTATCTGTATGTGTGGAGGCACATGTGAGTGCAGGGGCCATGGAGTCCAGGAGAGGGCAGAAGATCTGCCAGTCTGGAGTCACAGGTATAAACCAGCTGGTCCGAGCTCTGGCTACCACTCTGGTGCTCTGGAAGAGCAATGAGAGCCATCTCTCAGGCCCTGCGGTCTCCTTTCTAAGCAGCCAGGTGGGAGAATGAGGCGGTCAGCAGAGCCAGTTTCTCAGTGTGTGCAGCCGTAAGCCCATCTCAGAAGGGAGCATCTGCAAACTAGCAGAAGGCCCTGAGAACACAGACTGCCAAGGCTATAGGAAAGCTGAGTTTAGCGCAAAAGCTGTAAGGTTACATAAGCTTGGGAGCCCCTGCCCTTCCTACCTGTGAGGATTGCATGGGCTTTGAGAGCACAGCTTCTGTCTAAGACTGTCCGTCCCAATTCAGCCGTACAGGCTCAAGCGTCAGTTCTGGGGTAAAAAGACCCAGCTAAGGCCAGGTTTGCAACACATGTTTATATCTCTCCCCCTTAGTTCTAGAAGCTGTTTCTCCACGGAAGTACAATCTTGATTTTTCTTCTACTGTACTCTGTTGTCATTCCTCAAGATCATGAGACAACAAACCTGGGAGCCACTGACACAGAGCGACTTAAGTGGCCATTGAGTTTCCAGGGCCCCAATTCTCTGACCCAAGCCCATCTGAGGCAAGAATGAATTCTGTTAGACTCAGGGATCCCTGCAACACTTTGATGGTCTCTAGGGGGAGCTCCTGAAGAAGGACAAATTAGCTTGCTTTTGTTTGTTTGTTTGTTTGTTTGTTTTGTTTTTCAAGGCATGGTTTCTCTGTGGCTTTGGAGGCTGTCCTGGAACTAACTATTGTAGACCAGGCTGGTCTCGAACTCACAGAGATCCGCCTGCCTCTGCCTCCCAAGTGCTGGGATTAAAGGTGTGAGCCACCAACGCCCGCCCCCCCTTTTTTAAATTCCTCATTAGTATCTTCGCCTGTCATGCGGGAGACTGGGGTTCAATTTCCTGACGGGGAGGTAAAAGACAACTTTAAGCCGGGTGTTGGTGGCACACGTCCTTAATCCCAGCACTTGGGAGGCAGAGGCAGGCAAATCTGTGAGTTCGAGGTCAGCCTGGTCTACAGAGGTGCCAGGATAGGCCCCAAAGCTATACAGAGAAACCCTGTCTTAAAAAAACAAAAAGAAAAAACAATGGACTTGCTTCTTAATATTACAGTCTTGGGACTGGAGAGATGGCTCAGTGGTTAAGAGCACATGCTGCTCTATCTGAGGACATAGGTTCAATTCCCAGCAACCACAGGATGATTTAAACTAGTTCCAGGGGATCTGATGGCATCTGGCGTCCATGGGCACTGGCTTGCATACATACATGTAAGCAACACCAATACGCATAAAATTAAGTAAATCATAAAAGAAATCCCTTTCTTCAGCTCTCTAACCCTGTATAGTTTTTTTTTAAGGCCTACTATCTGTCATGACTGTCAGTTAGTTCAAAGTCAGCAGCATGGAAGCTGATCCTAAACAGAGGCCAGGATTACTGGGAAGGTCAGGATGAACTCTCGTCTTTCTCTGACCCTGGGAGCATCAATTCTGCACCTGTTCAGTTCCCTTTCACAGACTGGAGTCCTGTGAAGGTGTGGAAGCCACTGGTACACCTGAAGGTCACTCTGCCCAGACACACCCATTCCCAACGCCCAG